TTGTACTTTTTAATGAGGTACAGATGAATGGTATTTGTTAATATTGCTTTAATGCTTAGTAGTTTTTATTTCTTTTTAAATAACTCATTTATGTTACTCTATTTGAGAGCTTGTGCTTTATAGTTTTTGCTTTGTTCTCTTACCTGAATATTTAAGGGAAAAAAGGTAAAAGTTAAAATATCTGGGAAGTTCTGGTACATTCAACTTTTAAAAACTGTGGTTCTTTTAGATTGCTTCAGTAAAGCCATGTAGTTCATGGGCAACTTAGTTATTTGTTTTTTCCAAAAATTCTCTATTTATTTATTTATAGTTTTTTATTTTATTTTTCTCCATTACCAATTATCCACCTTACACCCTCTTCCACCTCCACCCCCACCCACCTGGACAACTTAGTTTTTAAAGAAAAATACATTGTCAACACTAACAAGTAATGCTTTTTTAAAAAAATGTTTTCTTGTATTTGTAAGCTAATTTATTTTGATGATTAAAATATTGGTTTAAGCACCTGGTCTCTTCCATCATAAGCTCCATTTCATCACAAAAATATCTGGAATTTTCCTGAGGCATTTGAGGTCCAAGTCTGACTCTTAGCATTAAAATTAGTTTAAGAGCTGTTTTCATCAGAGAGTTCTCATAGATGTTTCAGGGGTAAAGGATGCCAGTTTCTTATTTTATCCTATATATCTGTACGTCACTCAGAATAGGAAGTGTCATTCTAGAATGATTCTATGAGAAAGGCCACCTAATATGTTGCTGCCATAAGGACATTGTATCATTTTCATATTAATGACAATTTTAAGAATATTACTTGTATTCAGAGTTCTCTTAAATCAAACATATTAAAGAAAATGTGGACTTCCAGCCAAGATGGAGGTGTAGGTAGACACACTGTGCCTCCTCACACAGTCAAAAGAAGGACAACAACAAATTTAAAAACAAAAAACAACCAGAACTGACAGAAAATTGGACTGTATGGAAGTCAGACAACCAAGGAGTTAAAGAAGAAACATTCATACAGACCAGTAGGAGGGGCAGAGACAGACAGCCAGGTGGAGAGGACTTGCAGTAAAGCCGTCGCTGGCAGACAGGGCGGTTCCACATAACTGAGTGCAGATAAACCAGGAGGAATAACTGGGGACCGAGATAGACCGTGTAACCCAGGGTTCCAGCTTGGGGAAATAAAGCCTGAAAACCTGTCTGGAAAATCCTCTGAGGGTTGAGCCAGCAGGAGAAACTCCATGCCTCATAGGAGAGTTCATTGGAGAGAACCACAAGGTCCTAGAACTTACGCAAACCCACCCACCTGGGAAAAAGCACCAGAAGGGCCCAATTTGCTTGTGGGTAGCAGCAAGCAGTGACTGAAAGCCATCAGAGAACTGAGCAGGTGGCATTGTTCCCTCTCAGACCACTCCCCCACATACAGCATCACAATGGAGCCATGTGGATTACCTGACCCTGGTAAACACCAAAGGCTCCACCCCTTCTACAGAACAGGTGCACTGAGACCAAAAAAAATCGCTCAAGTGAAAGAACAGATCAGAGCTCCAGGAAAAATACAATTAAGCAATGAAGAGATAGCCAACCTATCAGATGCACAGTTCAAAACACTAGTAATCACAGTGCTCACAGAATTGGTTGAGAATGGTTGCAAAATAGAGGAAAAAATTAAGGCTATGAAAAGTGAAATAAAGGAAAAGTACAGTGAGCCAAGAGTGCTGGGAAGGAAACCAGGACTCAAGTCAACCATTTCAACCAGAAGGAAGGAAGAAAGAAACATTCAATCAAAACAAAGTGAAGAAACAAAAATTCAAAAAAAAAAATGAGAGGCTTAGGAACCTCCAGGACAATTTTAAACTTTCCAACATGTGAGTCAGAGGGGAGCCAGAAGGCGAAGAGGAAGAGCAAGAAACTGAAAATGTATTTGAAAATATAACGAAGAAGAACTTTCCTAACCTGGAAAAGGAAATCAACTTCCAGGAAGTCTAGGAAGCTTAGAGAGTCCCAAAGAAGTTGGGCCCAAGGAGGAACACACCAAGGCATATCATAGTTACATTACCTTAGGTTAAAGATCAGGAGAAAATCTTAAAAGCACCAAGAGAAAAGGAGACAGTTAATCTATAAAGGAGTTCCCATAAGACTGTCAGCTGATTTCTCAAAAGAAACTTTACAGGCAAGAAGGGGCTGGAAAGAATTATTCAAAGTCATGAAGGTCGAAGGCCCACATTCAAGATTACTCTATCCAGCAAAACTCATTTAGAAAGAAGGCAGATAAAATGCTTCCCAGATAAGGTCATGTTAAAGGAGTTCACCATCACCAAGCCCTTATAGGAAATGTTAAAGGGACTTATCTAAGAAAAAGATAAAAAATATGAACTGTAAAAAATGACAAGCTCACAACTACCAACAACCGAACCTAAACAAAACAAAAACAAAAACTAAAACAAGCTAAGCAAACATCTAGAACAGGAACAGTAACACAGAAATGGAGATCACATGGAGGGTTATTAAAGGGGAAGGGAAAGAGGGCAATGGGAGAAAAGGTAAAGGGAGTAAGTAGCATAAACAATAGGTAGAAAATAGACAGGAGGAGGTTAGGAATAGTATAGTAAATGTAGAAGCCAAATAACTTATATGTATGATTCTTGAACATGAGGGGAATAAATGGAAAATGGGACAATTGTAATAGCATAATCAATAAAATATATTAAAAAGTGAATGCTTCAGATATGTTCAATACATTCTGTTTATGGATAAAGAAGTTCACCCATTTTAGAAGTTCACTACATTTTAGTGCTGTTTTTACCAAAAGTCCTTGCATCTCTGAGTTAAACTTCATTTAACAGAAATCACTTGTTTTCCCCAGTGGTACTGAATAATTAAACATTGCTATGGATGAAACTTCAAGCTGAAGCCTCAAAGAATTGCTGAGCTAGTTCAGCACCATTACTAATGTGTGGTCAGCATGCTATCACACAACATATAGCACTCAGGCCTAGCACTGCCAGAGTTGAGACCTGCTGAGGGTGCCACATATTTTGGAAAGTTCAAGAAGACAGTCCATCATAGATAGAGAACAGGATGACAGCTCTAGGGTAAGGGGATTGGTGGATGGAGGGATCAAGCAAAAAAGAAAAAGAACTGATGGCCATGGACAACAGTGTGGTTATTGCTGGGGTGAGGGGTGGAGGTAGAAGAGGGTATAGGGTGGATAAATGGTAATGGAAAAAATACAATATAAATAAATTAGGAAAAATTACACAAAAAGGTAATGCTAAAAAATAACAAAAAAAGTGCAGAAAGCATGTTCTTGATTACTTTTTACTCCACACCTCTTGCCATTTAAATGGAGAAAACTGTTTCTGCTAAGTGATTCTCTCCCAGAAATTCTCTGATTTAGGGGAGGATATACTGGCATTCAAAGTTGTAGGCTAACAACAGAGGAAAATGGGTGAGAAGGAAGATACCTAGAGGAAAGGTGCCCAGACCCGGCGCCCCCAGAGAAAGTAGTTGTGCAGGGACTGTATAAAGCTTCACATTTTAATTCAGTTAGCAGATACATATTCTACCTACTATGGGCTAGACATTGTTCTAGTCACTGGGGACACAGGATATGAATGCAACAAGTGTCTATCTTCATGGAGCCTATGTTGTAGGGGAGGGAACAGTAGAGGTCCAACAGTAAAGAAATAACTAAATATATAATGTGTCAAATGGTCATAAGTGATATGGGGAACTAACATGGGAAAGAAAGTAGGGGGTGCAGTTGCAGAGGCAGCACATTTTCTATAGGGTGTCAAAGAAAGTCTCATTGATTAAGGTTACATTTGAGTAGAGGTAGGAAAGAAGTAGTGGGTGGAACCCACAAGGGTAAAGCACTTCAGACAGCTAGAACAGCTGGTATGTACTTGGTGCTTTCGGGCAGCAGCACTGGCTAGAGTGGAGTGAGCAAGGGGGAAAACAGGGCAGGGGATGTGGCCAAATGGTGGCTATCCACATGGGCCATTGGAAGGACTTTAATTTTAACCCAAAGCAGAAATTGAAAGTAAACTATTACTCTGACTTTAGAGGTAAAGATGAAAGCAAGGGACTATTTAGGAGGTTATTATAATATCCAAAGTAGATAATGGTGGAGGGTGAAACTAGGTTGGTAGCAATGAGGTAATGAAGCTAATACCAAGGTTTTTGGCTCAGTCAGCTAGAAGGATGGGGCTATCATCTGCTGAAATGAGGAGGCTGTGGAAAGAGCAGGATCAGATAGGAGGAGTCAAGGGTTTGGTTTTGGATGTGTTAGCCCAAAGTCCTCCAGATGCCTCTTAGGCAGTCTGGGGTTGTGGAGTGGGTACTTGGATAGCTAAATCTGGGGAAGAGAGTGGGGGCTGGAAAATGATAGATATTTAGTAGTCACTAGGGTATGGATGGTATTTGAAGCCTCGAAACTCATCGATATGGCCTCCTTGAGAGTGAGCATAAATAGAAAAGAGATGGAAGACCTGAGGCCTGTGATTTCACAGACTGGTATCAGGGCTTTGATTCAAAATTCACAGAGAACAGTTAGTTAAGAATTTTCCTAGTGTCGTGTCCTTTTAAAAATAGACAAACATGTTATTGTTTCCTTTTGAACCATTTGCACTGTTTATTAATCATTCCTGAATCTCCTTTTACTTTTTTTTACTAGCTTTTCCCTGATCAATTGCTAGTACTGTCTAAAATTGATTGGCCTTTTTTGGTCTGGAAATCTGATTTTTGTGGAACATCATTTAAAAGATAATTAAAAGAGACGTTTGTAGTCATAGAAAATTGAGGTCTCAAAAGTAATTATGAAGATAAAAGGTAGTATAAGTCTAGTCCAATTTTTTTCACTTTTGTTTCTATGTTGAAAGTCTCAGGTTTGGTTGTGATTTTATGATTGGCAAATTTGGTGAAAAATCAAAGGATGTAGTGTTAGTAGACTATTAGTTTCCTCACACTGAACTTTAAATTCTTTTGTTTGCTTTTTCTAGCCAATATTTGCATTTTTAAATGAAGAAAAGTTTAACATGAATGGATGGATGGTTTATAATCCAGTTGAAGAATACAGAAGGCAGGTAAGCCAATAGGTAATGTGGCAGGTGGTAAATCTGAAACATACATGTTGACAGTATGTCACCAGTCATGCTCTTGGAGGATCAATAGCATCCTTACTAAATAAACGTGTTAAATAGCAGTGATATAATATAGCTTATTCTATCTGTGTATTCCATAGCCATATTCAAGCTACACTGAAGGCTGGCTGGCTAAGTTATATTTTCTTCCTCTACATGAAGAACTTTAGTTGTATATTATTCATGAAATGAAGCAAATACTTGGAGTCTAGAAAAGTTGGACCTGTGTAGCTTCCTATTTAGGAGTTGATGTTGCTATATATTTGCATATTTAGGAGCCTAACTGTTGCTGGCAGTTAGATTTCAATTATATGCATTCTCTTTGCAGATTCAAATGAATTCTAACTGCCTTCCTATAATAATGTCTTTTCCAAGAAAGCTTTGATTAATATATATTAGACTTGTCCTTACTGTTCTCTTATGTAAACATCACCTACATGCATGTTTATTTGCTGTAATAAAGGCAAGAGGCTTGGAATAATGTTGGCTATTCAGGGACAAAGTCTCTTCCAGCATGTTTGTGGAAAAGATCCTGTGCATGTTATGTAACCAGAGCCATAACTTGGCCTGTAGTATAGGACAGCTAGGAGTTTTGTGACAGAATTTTTTCATAATTATCATTCTAAAAGCTCTTAAAATAGTTGGGAAATTTTGCTGAATGACCTTTGAGAATAAAATCAAGCCCAGTTGTGTTATATGAAAAGGTAGTGAATGTGAAGTCACAGAACCCTAGACTCAAAAAGAACCTTCTAGCCACCACCTTCACTACTGAGGATTGATTTCTGTTCAGTTTTCATTCGTGGTGTGTACATTAATAAGCAGATTCAATGTTCTGGAGTGATAACATGGGAATTTATCTCTAAGAACATATGTATGAGGTAGTATGCGCTATTGCTTCTAGAAATCAGCTTTAGACTATTGTTTTCAAAGTCTGCATATATCTCATTTTAATGACTTTTGTTCTGGGTCAGTTATTGAAGAGGACTATCAAAACATTTTGTGTGTTTTGGAGATCTCCGTAGCATTATGTATTAAAATATTTGTACCTTATTTTTAGAGTGTTATTGACAACATTAAGACTTGATTTTTTAGATCAAAGATTCTAGCTTGCAACAAAACAGTTCGTGTTTTTAAGATTGTATGCATAAATGAACTGTGGAAGTTATTTTGTTCTAGACTGCCATTACATTCCATCTTTTTTTCTTATAACTTTCTGATGGAACTTATAACTCTCTAATTGGACTCAGCATCAGAGTCATCTGTTTGGTCTCTGGCCTATAGGGCCAGACCTAAAGAAAAGGTACAATGTCTGTCCCCAAAGAAAGTACCCACATAGTTTATTTTTGTGTGTGTATTTGTGTATTTGTGAGTATGGGGAGAGAATATTCCACCACCTCTGGCTCTTGTCTACACTAGATAAAATTTTATGGGTAGATGCTAGGGTGGGGTGTTTTCCATGTCTCTCTGTCCCATTAGCAGTCTGCTTAGACTGCAAATGACTGTATTTCTCACACAACCTATAGAGCAATCACCAATCCCAAACAACTTGATTGAAAAAAACTCTTAGGAGGTGGTGAAATGAGCCTCCCCAAGAGGGAGTTTCCTTTACTTCCCCTCTTTGACTTTCTTCATACACTTAGCCTCTTTCTACTTTAGAGCAGACTGAAGCACTTACTCTGTTTTCAGTAGGAAGAGGGAGTTGCCTGATCTCTTTTCTGTCCTCAATTAGACATAGAGTAAGATCACATGATATATTTTCTCTAGGATTGGGGGGGTACATGGGTGGGGAATGAACTTGGATTTATCTTTATTGTACTAATATAAAAGAATAGTTTGACATGAAATAAAGGAAGTTCTCAAATTCAAGAGAATCTTTATTTCTCAGCGACAGTTTAGAATTATGAAAACCACCAGTGTTTTGTTTTGTGTTCTTATGTTGTCTGGATTATTGATTTGGCTCCCTTATTATAAATCAGTAGACCATCATTACACTGGTCAAAGAGGCATGTGCAAATTCTGCTAGAAGGAAGGAGACCCGAGGTCAATGCAGAGATCAAGTCATGCAGTACTGACTAGGACTTCCTTTTTTTCTGCAGGGCTTACCCAATCACCACTGGAGAATCACTTTTATTAATAAGTGCTATGAACTGTGTGACACTTACCCTGCTCTCTTGGTAGTTCCATTTCGCACCACAGATGAAGATCTCAAGAGAGTTGCAACTTTCAGATCCCGAAATCGAATTCCAGTGAGTAGTGCGATTAATTGTTTTTCAAAGAGTGCCTTTTATTCCGTAAGAATGGGAGTCAAATAATTCAGAGAAACACTCTTGGGTCTCAATCCAACAAGTAATTATCAAGTGCTTCTGAGTGCAGAATGGGAAAAACAAGAAAGACACTTGCCTTCCAAGAGCTGGCAATCAAAGACAGAGAACGGACACAAGTAATTCTTATGCAAGGGAGGATATAAGTAACACTAGGATATTTAAACCAAGTGCTAGGTGGAAGGAAAGAGGGTAGGACAGAGTTGTTGTGGTTTTCATCCTTGTAGCAAAATACCTGATATATCAAAGGCTCCTGATAAATTTCAGCTGAGAAATGCTGGAAACAAGGTACTATCTTATGTAATAGAACTTGTAAGCACAGGCTTTTATGTATACTCATCTTTATTAGGATTAATTTATCCTTGTCACATTTGCAAGTTGCCTTAATACCATTAGCAAACTGGAACCAAGTGCAGATTGTTCCAGACACTATGCTTATGGGATCATTGGAACCAGTTCACAGAGTTCCCTTTGCTTCTTAAATATTTATGTACAAGTCACACTATCTACTCTGTGTACATAAATTTTATTAACTAGAAATTTAGAGAATTTTTCCCTTCTTTTCAGGTCATGTCATAATAAGTACTTCTTTCAACTTCTTTTAATTAATTTCTTCAGCACAAAGGGTTGAAGAAATTAATATTTAATATTAGCTTACTTTTAAATTCCAAGTCTAGATATTTTTATCCTTAAAAAGATATTTGTGTGAAACTTTTGTATACTGTCAACATAATGTGAATTGTAATTCTTAAACTTCACTTGATTCTCTAAGTATGAGTGTTCATTCATATCTTCACGATACAGTATACTTGAGAGTTTGTTCTTTAGCTCATTTTGTTAGAACACAGTGCTAAAGAAGTTCATTCCTCCTGTAATCTGAACATACTTTTCTGTGCCATAGCCATAGACTCCACATTTGCCCTGGCCAACTGTCTTGCTAATATATGCCTTGCCTACAAGAGACTGGATTTATGTAGCATGAATTGCTTTTGTTCATGCCTTCATTCAGTTAATGTTTATTGAACATCTACTGTGTCAAAGATGTGTGTGTGTACATGTGTTTCATGGGATTTGGAGAAGGAGAGGAAATGAAAAAACTATGCCCAGTCCATTATGCTCAGGCTACCATCTTGATCCAGTAGTTCCCATTATTCTGAGTGAATGACAACCCACTGTAGAGCATGTAGAATGCTTAACTTTTTACGTGTTGAGCTATTTCGTGGATCCTTCTTACTTTCTGATGGCCACCAGTTTGCATTTATTTTTCCTAAAAATACTGAAGCTAAGCTATCTATTACCTCTATATCTTTATAAAGTAGCATGCTTAATAATATCTAATAGTAGATAGTGTACTGTTTGGGATATACCCTCTAATACCAGAATCTTGACTATAACCCAGAAAATATATTTGCTTTTTTAAAAAGAAATATTATTTATTTATTTTTAGAGAGAGGGGAAGAGAGGGAGAGAAACACCATTGTGTGGTTGTCTCTTGCTCACTCCCTCCTGGGGACTTGGCAGGCAATCCAGGCATGTGCCCTGACTGGGAATCCAACTGGCAGCCCTTTGGTTCACAGGCTACTACTCAATCCACTGAGCCACAACACCCAGGGCCATATTTGCTTATAATGTGAAATCAATTAATACTTGTTATTTAATTTTTTTGAGCCCATGTAAAAATACAAAAAGAATTGATGACAAAGCAATATTGTTATTATGTGTGTAAATAAGGAACAGATTGTAAAATATCACTGATGAATGGAATAATTCACATAGATTAACATTCCCATTAATAGATACATACTCCTTTGTTCCCAAACATGTTTGTCTTAATGTTTTGGAAATTTTTCACATATAAGTAATACATATTTTATTTTAGACATTTTAGAAAATACTGCTAAACAAAAAGGAGTCCGACACCTTAGGAAAACTACAGTTACTACGTCCTTCTAGACATCCTTCAATGTATGCATATTTTAATAGAAAAAATATGAAATTATTTTGTAATATGTATCTCAATCTAAGAAAAAGAAGATAAAAACTATGAACATTAAAATGACAACCAACACCCAACTATCAACAACTGAACCTTAAAAAAAAAACAAAAACAAACTAAGCAAATAACTAGAACAGGAACAGAATCACAGAAATGGAGATCACATGAAGGGGTATCAGTGGGGAGGGGAAGGGGGAAGAATAAGGGAAAAGTTAACAGAATAAGAAGCATAATTTGTAACTACAAAATAGACAGGAGGAGGTTAAGAATAGTATAGGAAATGGAGAAGCCAAGAACTTGAATGTATGACCCATGGACCAGAACTAAGGGGGCGTGATGCTGATGGGGGTGTATACAGGGCAGAGGGGAATAAAGTGGAGAAAAAAATGGGACATCTATAATAGGATAATCCATAACCTAATATAGTACTGTATACTTTAAAAGTACTCATAGCAAGTGATATTGTGAAATTAACATTATTTGTACCTGGTCAGCCAGGAAGCATCCTTTTTAATGTTAGTTGACACCCCAAAAGGAAAAGAAATGAGAGGTGAAAAAATTCATAATGGTAACTTCTGGGCAAAATGGAAGCATAGGTAAATAAATACACTTGGCTTCCTCGTACAACCAAAAGAAGGACAACATATTTAAAAACAAACGCCAGAACTGCCAGAAAATTGAAATGTATGGAAGTCTGACACCTAAGGAATTAAAGAAGAACCATTCATCCAGACTGGTAGGAGAGGCAGAAAGGACGCATGGCAAGGTGGCAACTAGAGGATCAGGCAGTCCCACTTTAGTGTGCTGATAAGCCATGAGGAACAATGGGGATGTCAGATTGATGGCACAACCCAGGGTTCCAGTGTGGGGAAATAAAGTCTCAAAACCTCTGGCTGTCAAAATCTGTGGGGATTGTGGCGTGGGAGAAACTCCCAGCCTCACAGTACAGTTCATTGGAGAAACTCATGGGGTCCTAAAACATATACAAACCCATCCACCTGAGAATCAGCACTGGAAGGGCCCAATTAGCTTGAGGCTAGTGGGGGAAGTGACCGAGAGAGGGGCTAGAGCTGAGCAAGTGGCATTGTTCCCTCTCTGACTCATCAGAGAGCATCACAAAGCAGCAAAGTGGGTTATCTCACCCTGGTGAATACCTAAGGCTCTGCCCCTTACAATGTAGCAGGTGTGCTGAGACAAAGAAACATGGCCCAAATGAAAGAACAGATCAAAGCTCCAGGAAAAGAACTAAGTAATGAGGAGATATGATGCACAGCTCAGGACACTGGTAATCAGGATGTTCACAGAAATGGTTGAGTATGGTCACAAAATAGAGGAAGAAGTAAGGGCTATGAAAAGTGAACTAAAGGAAAATGTACGGGGAACCAAACACTGTAGGGAAGGAAGCTGGGTCTCAAATCAATGAATTGGAACAGAAGGAAGAAATGAACATTCAACCAGAGCAGAATGAAGAACCAATTCAAAAATATGAGGAGAGGCTTAAGAACCTCCTGGACTCCTTTACACATTCCAACATCCAAATCATAGAGGTGCCAGGAGGGGAAGAGGAAGAGCAACAAGTGGAAAACTTATTTGAACAAATAATAAAGGAGAACTTCCCAAATCTGGCAAAGGAAATAGACTTCCAGGAAATGCAGGAAGCTCAGAGAGTCCCAAAGAAGTTGGACCCAAGAAGGAACACACCAAGGCACATCATAATTACATTAGCCAAGATTAAAATGAAGGAGAGAATCCTAGAAGCAGCAAGAGATAAGGGGCCAGTCACCTACAAAGGAGTTCCCATCAGACTGTCAGCTGATTTCTCAAAAGAGACCTTACAGGCAAGAAGGGGCTGGAAGGAAGTATTCCAAGTCATGAAAGGCAAGGACCTACAACCAAGATTGCTCTATCCAGCAAAGCTTTCATTTAGAATAGAAGGGCAGATAAAGTGTTTCTCAGATAAGGTCAAGTTTAAGGAGATCATCATCACCAAGCCCTTGTTATATGAAATATTAAAGGAATTTGTCCATGAAAAAAATCAAAATGACAAATGGTAAAATGACAACAAAGTCACAAGTATCAACAACTGAACCAAAAAACAAAAACAAACTAAGCAAACAACTAGAACATTAACAAATTCACAGAAATGGAGATCACGTGGAAGGTTATCAGTGGGGAGGAGGGTAGAATTAGGAAAAGATACAGGGAATAGGAAGCATAATTGCCACATACAAAATAGACAGGGGGAGGTTAATGGTATAGGAAATGGAGAAGCAAAAGAACTTATATGTATGACCCATGGATGTGAACTAAGGAGGGGGAAAAGCTGGTGGGAGGGGAATTGCAGGGCAGAGGGGGATAAAGGGGAGAAAAAATAGGACAACTACAGTTAATAGCATAATCAATAAAATATAATTTAAAAAATTCATAAGAGTAGCATTTCTTAACATGGCATGGTGATTCTAGGGTTATATCTCCCAAGCAGAGAAAAGAGGGGTAGAAGAAAGGAGGGCACTGGTCACACAAGGGCAGTTTCTTTTGTATGACTTCATTTAAATTTAAAGTTTGATGAGGGTCTTTATCAAATAATAAGCTTCTTATATCTGTAGTGATTTGCTCCTGTAAATATGATCTCATATCAAATCAGTATGTTATATACCTTAAATTTACACAATGTTATATGTCAGTTATATTCCAATAAACCTGAAAAATTCAATTCATTTAAAAATAAATATATTAAAGTGATCTCATGTTTTTTATCTCCCTTGAAGCAAAGGCTATAGAAGGTAGGTGAGGCAGGTTTGTTATAGATTGGAATTTGGTGGTTGAGGAAAGGCCAGTGCTTTTCCCAGGACTTTAGAGACCACTGTGGTGTTTTTTGTTAAAGATTTTATTTTTATTTTTTAAGATTTTATTTATTTTTAGAGAGGGAGGGAGGGAGGGAAGGAGGGAGAAAGGAAGGGTGGGAGGGAGGGAGGGAGGGAGGGAGGGAGGGAGGGAGGGAGGAAGGAAGGAAGGAAGGAAGGAAGGAAGGAAGGAAGGAAGGAAGGAAGGAAGGAAGGAAGGAAGGAAGGGGACATCAATGTGTGGTTGCCTCTCATAAACCACCTACTGGGGACCTGGCCCACAACCCAGGTATGTGCCCTGACTGGGAATCAAACCAGTGATCCTTTCGTTCACAGGCCGGTACTCAATCCACTGAGCCACTCTAGCCAGCACATGTTTTATTTATTTTTAGACAGAGGGGAAGTGAGGGAGCAAGAGGGGGAGAGAAACATTGACGTGCAAGAGATACACCAATCGATTGCCTGTTGCATGACCCCAACTGGCAACCTGGCCCATAACCCAGGTATGTTCCCTGCCTGGGAATCGAAGTATCAACCCTTTGGTTTGCAGGCCAGCACTCAGTCTGCTGAGCCGCACAGTGTTTTTAACTAGTCTCCGTTATGGCACAAAGACTCAATGAATGAGTATTCATATCATTATATAATCATTCTCACATATTGTCATTATTATGCATGTCATTTTTTATGAATATCAATGGTTGTCATTTGTTGTTGTGGATGGAGTGACTTAAAAAGACAATTGTATTTGGCCTTGTATTAAGTGAACTCAAACTCTTATGCTTCTTTAGTTCTTGTGTCTGGTTTTCATAGTTTTTCCTATTTAACTTTACTAGCTTCTGGCCTGCCTCTAGGTTCTAACTCAAGCCAGCCAGGCCCCTGCAGTCCAGAGTCCTTTACCTGCATTAGTTCTTCCTTTGTTGTCCCAGCAGCACCACAGGATAGCATTACTCCCCATTTGATGAAAGACAAAAGGGAGGCAACAGAGGCTGTGAGCTCAGTACGCAGGTTAGAGCCATAGCAGAGGTGCACCACCCCAGAACCCAAGCTGTTACCCAATATGCTCATCTCTCAGCGCCCCCTCATTTTTTACCACCTTTATTGAGGTTTACACCACACCCAATTAAAGTGGTGTAGCTTTTGGTGTATTATATTATTAGCTACCGTTTACAGTTGTTTTTTCTCATGTGCTGTGAGCTAGAAAACCAGGTATCAAATGTGCTAGGTGTGTGTATAAAATTAGAGAAGACGATGTGACTAAATCCTCAAAGACCTCTCCTAGGAGCCAGGTATCCATGCCTCTTTGCAAGACTCTGAAGGTTCTTTTGACTGTCCTGACAGCTTCTTTGTTTCCCTTGGGTTATCTCCCTTCATGTTGGGTTCTAGAATTGAGACTGTTGGGAAAACAACCTGCAGATGTGAGTTGGTATTATAGAAACATGATATATCAGAGGTGATTTCCTTTACCTCTCACTTTGTGCTAAAGTTGTTTCTTCGTGATGATAAATCCAGTGTAAGCTACAGAACTGAAATAATAGCAGATGCTTTGTATTTCCTCTAAGTGATTTAACATTTTTAGTTAAGCATTTAATTTCTATTAGATGTGCTGCTAATTATGAAAGGACTAATAAAGCAAGTGGTTATTCTAATTGTTTCTTATTAATGACATTGTTAAATGTGTGTTTCTGGTCACACACAGTGAAGTCATAGGTGAATAAGTATTCCATTTCAGCAAAAACAGATTCACTTCATTGTGATTGTTAGTGATTTATTTTTATAGTTTTAATTGTTTTGAGATTTGCTTTGACAGCTTAAAATTTCTGTACTAACTATAGGTACTGTCATGGATTCATCCCGAAAACAAGACAGTCATTGTGCGTTGCAGTCAGCCTCTTGTTGGCATGAGTGGTAAACGAAATAAAGATGATGAAAAATATCTTGATGTCATCAGGGAGACTAATAGACAAATTTCTAAACTCACAATTTATGATGCAAGACCCAATGTAAATGCAGTGGCGAACAAGGTGAGTATATTTTAATGACACGATAGAAACTTATATACAGTGTATGGTGTTTCACATGAATGTTTTTGCCATACTATGTCAACATGTGGGCTTAAATTAATAGTTAAACAGCTTAAAAAGGAAAACTAGTTCACTCAGTTCATTTTAATCACAAAATGTATCTTAAAAGTTGAATATATTAAAATAAAATGCAAATAATATCTAGGTAAATTAGGCGAGTCTACAACTGTAATGAACTTGGGTTTAGGTTGAATTTTAGGCATAAGTTACAATGTCTTTGGAGCTCTTTAGGCTGTTGTTGGTCATTCTCAATATCAGTACTACTAACGCATCTGTGAGGAGTTGTGGGAAGGTGTAATTGATAAAATTTTTATTTCTAGCTTTAGCAAACAGTCTCTTCACTGTACTCATCAATGTATATTCTCTTTTCTCTAAACAGTTCAAGAAATGAGTAGATCTATGTATATGAAGTTTACAACTACACACACAATGTTATTTTCAAAGAAGTATGTCTCAGTTGTCTTTGTCGCCTTCTTAAGCAGAAAATGCCAATTGCCCCTGAAGTTGACTGGAATTGTCACTGTGAACCTCAGTGACTACATAGTGTTGCCTTCATAAGCTCTTCAGAGGCTGGCAACAAGGTCCAAGGCTGTTTACCCCCACCCTAAATGACCCCAGATTGTGCTATGCTTTTTATGTTCAATTTTTCCTTTCTGTTTTGTTGTTTTCCTTCTCCCATTATTGCCAGCTATCACAAGTGCTCACAAGTGCCCCTTGTTGCTCATCTCTATTCCGTCTTCCAGATTTTTTTAAAATTTTATTTATTTATCTTTAGAGCAAAAGAGAAGGAGAGAAACATCAATGTATGGTTGCCTCTCATGAGTCCCCTACTGGGAACTGGCCTGCAACCCAGGCATGTGCCCTGACTGGGAATCGAACCGCGATCGTGTGGTTTGCAGGCCAGCGCTCAATCCACTGAGCTATGCCAGCCAGGGCTTCCGTCTTTCAGATTTTTTTGTGTCTTGTCAGCTATAGGCTTCAATGTCATCATCTTGGGTACTTGGCTTATCCCAAGGTCATTTATCTGGCATATTCAATGATTCAGAGCACAAGACAAGAACCTGAAAGCAAAACAAGTGTTTGAGTGGCTCAGACAGACACAGCAACTTTCTTAAAGGGACCTATGACATCTGTCTATATACGCATGAGATTGCGCATGTAGGGGTGTCCAATCGCACAGTTGTGCATCTTACACACTGATTCCCGGAGGGCTTCTTTGTCCCTTGCATGCTCTTGGATCAGCTATTTGTTACTATAGGTGGTTTGTCTTTAGAATGAAAATAATGTTGAAATTTTATGCAAAGTAATCAGGAAGTGAAAGCAGGAAATTAAGTCTAAATATGAATGTCATCTTGGGTTATCATTAACTTTATGTATTTCTTTTCCTAGAATTCAGAATACATGTAGAAAGTACAATGTTTCCATGTATACATTTGGCCTGAAATAGATATAATATTAACATGAGGTATTCAGAAAGAACATTTTAAAATATTAAAATGTATAAAATGCATACATCATTGCCGGGGTCCAGCCTCAGCAGGGTTCAGGGTCCCGGGTGCCCGAAGGATGGACAGCGTAGGGGAGGAATGAAGAGTCAGACACCCGATTGGATGCGGGAGAACAGCCAGCCTCTGTGGGTCTGACCCAACTCTCAGAGTTTGATTTAGGCTTTATTTTTATAGAGATTGTTACATAACGTTAAAGGAACAGGTGCATGGCGTGATCAGTTAAGCAGGAAAAAAAAAATACAGAGGTAACTAGGAAAAGTACAGGAAGTTCCATAGTTTCAGTTATGTTAAACAAAGGTTGTTTTGACCAGGAGAGCCATTAATCAGACAATTAGAAATAGCTGTATGTACAGAGTTTAGGTATCTTATTATTTATTAAAGTTCTTAGAATTTGACATGGGGCAAAAGGGTGTGCTACATTGAATAGAGGTTAGGAAATTCATTATAAGGCCTTTGTGATGTCTAACTTAGCTATCTATGTTTCTGTCTAAAATGTTTCTTTATGTAATATGGACTCTAACTCCTTGGTAATTGTTTCTCCGTGCTTAGTTTGTGATAGCTAACCAGCTTCTCCTGTTTCTTTGCCTGTCTACTTCTAATTAATACATATTCTTGTCTAAGGTAGAGGAGGGGCTTTTACTCCATCAACTTCTAGATATTCAAGGACTACTTCATTAGGGGGGACTTTGTTCACTGGCCAAGAAATTATTTTGTATAACTTCATTAGAATTATGTGGATTATTGGACCTGAAATACAGGTGTCTAAAAATCCCACCACCTATTAATCCCAGAGACAAGCATGCAAGGAGAGATAGACAGGAAGTCCAGCCACAGTTGCCTCTGCTGTGCAGATGCATCTCATCCGTCCCGACTGTGTCAAGGGACATCTATTGGTCAGCTCCTGACACATCATATTAACTCTAAAGCTCATTGTTATAGTATTGGAATTCTTGAATGTCTTTTTAACAGTCAGGAAATATCACTGTGTTTCTACTCCCCTTAGGAATGAAGGGAAGAAAAAAATTAATGAAAAAAACCCTAGGCTTTAAAAATCTGTTTTATTCTTTTTTTAAAATATATTTTATTGATTATGCCATTATAGTTGTTCTATTCCCCCCTTCATTCCCCTCCATCCTGCACAGCACCTCCCCAACATTCCCCACTTTAGTTTATGAGCACAACTCAAGTTCTTTAGATTCTATATTTCTCCTACAATTCTTGCTCTCCCCCTATCTATTTTTTACCTACCATCTATGCTACTTATTTTCTGTACCTTCTCCCCACTTCTCTTCCCACTCTCCTGTTGCTAACCCTCCATGTGACCTTCATTTCTATGGTTCTGCTCCTGATCTAGCTGTTTTCTTAGTTTGCTTTTGTTTTAGGTGTGGTTGTTAATAACTGTGAGTTTGCTGCCCTTTCACCGTTCATATATTTTATCTTCTTTTTCTTAGAAAAATCCCTTTAACATTTCATATAATAAGGGCTTGGTGATGATGAACTCCTTGAACTTGACCTTATCTGAGAAGCACTTTATCTGCCCTTCCATTCTAAATGAAAGCCTTGCTGGATAGAGCAATCTTGGTTGTAGGTCTTTGGATTTCATGACTTGGAATACTTCTTTCCAGCCCCTTCTTGCCTGTAAGGTCCCTTTTGAGAAATCAGCTGACAGTCTGATGGGAACTCCTTTGTAGGTGACTGTCCTCCTATCTCTTGCTGCCTCTAGGATTCTCTCCTTCATTTTAATCTTGGCTAATGTAATTATGTGCCTTGGTGTGTTCCTTCTTGGGTCCAACTTCTTTGGAACTCTCTGAGCTTCCTGCATTTCCTGGAAGTCTATTTCCTTTGCCAGATTTGGGAAGTTCTCCTTTATATTTGTTCAAATAAGTTTTCCTCTTGCTCTTTCTCTTCCCCTTCTGGTACCCCCATAATTCAGATGTTGGAATGTTTAAAGATGTCCTGGAGGTTCCTAAACCCCTCCTCATTTTCTTGAATTTGTGTTTCTTCATTCTTTTCTGTTTGGTCATTTTTTTCTTTCGTCTGGTGCACTCCCTTGATTTGAGTCCCAGTTACCTTTCCATCACTATTGGTTTCCTGTGCCTTTCCCTTCATTTCACTTAGTCTAGCCTTCATTTGTTCCTCTAATTTGTGACTAAAATCAACCAGTTCTGTGAGCATCCTGATCACCGGTGTTTTGAACTGTGCATCTGATAGATTGGCTATTTGTTGGTTGCTTAGAGTTATTGGCTCTGGGGCTTTGAGTTCTTCTTGAGCCATGTTTTGGTCTCTTTGTGCCTGTTATGTATGAGTAGGGGAGCCTTAGGTGTTCACCAGGGCGGGGCCACCCAGGTTGCTGGGTTGTGAAGCTGTATGTGGGGGCAGGGTCAAAGAAGGGCAATGGTGGTCCCCTCTGCTGCTTCTGCCGCTGGGGCCTGCGCAGTCTATCTCACTGCTCGCTCCTTCTGTTTTATCTGAGTGCAAATGTGTGACCTCGGTCAGCCTGCCGCCTTGAGCCATCACTGGTTTCGCCCCTTGCTACCCCATATCTGGGATATGCCCACAGCTGCCTGCACGCCTGGGTCAGGGGATCCTTCCTGCCCGATCCTGATCCGCTGCTGGCTTCACCCCTCTTACTAGTCTGGCTGAAGGGTTTGTTGTTGTCGGACTTCTGTATAGTTCAATTTTCTGTGTTTTGACTGCGTTTTTGTTGCTTAAACTTTGTTGTTTTTAAACTTGGTTGTGCGAGAAGGCACAATGTTTCCACCTATGCCTCCATCTTAGTGGAAGTCATTTTTCATTCTTTTTTAAAATCATTTTTATTGTTATTCTATTATGGTTGTCCAAGTTTTTCCCTCTTTGCCCTCCCCTGTCCATCCCACCACCTGCTCCCATAGTCAGTCCCCACCCTGTTGTCCATGTCCATGGGTCATTCCTACATGTTCTTTGTCTAGTCCCTTCCCCTTTTTTCCACCATTATCCCTTTCCTCCTCCTCTCTGGACACTTACACAGCAGAAAGAAAGAAGGAATTTCTACCTTTTGCAACAGCATGGATGAAACTGGGGAATTATGCTAAGTGAATTATGCTAAGTGAAATAAGCCAGTCAGTGAAAGACAAATACCATATGATCTCACCTATAACAGGAATCTACTGAGCAACATAAAGTAATGAACAAAATAGAACCACAGACATGGAAACATGCATGATCCTTTTAAAAGCACACTCAGGTCCCCCTCCTCTTTTGCTGTTGTCTCTCCCTTACTCATCTATATCCAGATTAACAGGCCCTTGGACCTTTATGTCATCATATTAGTTAGTCTGGGTTGTTCTTTTTTGGGTGTGTTGCAAAAAGAAAACTGAAAAGAATATTTCAAAATTAACCAGAGATGGAGAATTTGCACTTTTGAGAATTCAATCTATGCCTGACTAATAGATTTTATCCTCTGACTTCAGTTCTCTTTGGACCTAATTGTTCTTCCCTTGTGGATATTCATATATTCATAACCCCAGATATAATAAGAAACATCACATTATTTTAAATTAAACAAGCTAATAAATAAAACCCAGGGGTGGGTAAGATCCATCATCAAGCTGCTTTAATTTTGGGGCAGTATGCTGGGATAAATTGAAGTGGAACTATGTTTTTTAAATATTTTATTTATTTATTTTAGAGTGAAGGGAAGGGAAGAAGAAAGAGAGGGAGAGAAACTCAATGTGTGGTTGCCTCTTGTACACCCCCTACTGGGGACCTGGCCCACAACCCAGGCATGTGCCCTGACTGGGAATCGAACTGGCAACCCTTTGGTTTGTAGGCCTGCGCTCAATCCACTGAGCTACACCAGCCAGGCTAAAGTGGAACTGTATTAATGTCTATGTTTGCCAGAAATTTTGGCGATGAGTAGTAAGTATATTTTATTATTTTTTTTGCATATCATCAGATATTTATAATACTTTTTCTTAAAATTTTTATTTATTTATTTTTGAGATAGGGGAAGGGAGGGAGAAAGAGAGGGAGAGAAACATCAGTGCATGGTTGCCTCTCACACACTCCCAACTGTGGACCTGGCCCACAACACAGGCATGTGCCCTAACTGGGAATCACACCTGTGGTTCACAAGCCAACACTCAGTCTTCTAAGTCACACCAGCCATGGTTTATAAAACTTTTTGAAAGGCACTGTAACTATTTAAAAACTACATGTGAAGAGAAGCAGGTTGTCTGTCTATGGGAGAATGACATGTGGCACTGCATTATATGTATGCAGACCTAGCAAAACTTAGGCTTCTCATTTCATCCTAGGCCCTATATCAGGCTTGCAGTTCACAAAAGTGACTGCCAGGTGGATAGGAGTACCTCTGTCATGACCTCCAATCAGAGCTGCCAGGTGTCATTCACTAAGGCAAGGATAACCAAGAAAAGAAGGAGATGGACCATTTGTCTATTTATTCGTTAGCTAATAACTTTTTAAAAACAACAAAATGATTATTGTCTACTTACTACTGCTGCTATTTGTGTTAACCTTTAAAAATACATATCTGATTCAACAACCATTTAGTGAATGCAAAGTTTTCTAGACATTGGAGGCAGAACAGTGCACAAGTCAAAGACTTTTTCTTTTTAATACAGTATTTATTTGTCTTCCTTCTGTCAAACCCTGAGCCAGCCCTTTCCCCAGGCTGCTTGGGGAGGTATAGAAAAAGAAACAGGGCAAATGAGACACAGGCAAAAGAATTATTGAAGAAAAAAAAAGAACAAAGTTGAGATGATTCCTTTGCATGGCAAAGAAGATGAGAAAGGTCACCACAAGAACTTTCCTTTACTGAAACATGTAGTTTGTCTAAAGGGCTCAGAAAAAAATATATATACATATATAAAATATACCTTCATACCTAGAGTCTGTGAAGACCAAGGCTTCTGGCTTGTACACAGGCCTCTAGGTTTGAAGTTCAAGTGGTAGCTTTATTTCTACTGCAGGAGAATTTCTATGTTACTAACCCTAGAAAAAAACATAGGATATATTGGCCCTTCTATCCTGAGCTACAAGTTTTTATTCCTTCCATGGTTATAATTAAAAAGGAAAGGGACATAAAGTAGCGGTGGCACATTTTTCTGGTGCCTTCACCTTTGCTCTTCAGTTCCAAGCACATTTCCCTGTCCTCTTCCTACAGACACTCTGAAGGTAGCATAATGTCGCTTTGATGATATTTTTTTTTCTGAGTTCACACATTCGTGTGTTTTATGATGCTAATTAGCATCCTTACATTTCAGCTTATAGAACATTGCTTTCTTCACAAATCTCTCAAATATTTAAATTTTCTTAAAGAACCAGAGGCCACATGTTTCATGGCATTTAAAAACATTAAGGAGAATGCAGCTAGGTTCCTAAACCAAATCATAGCATTTCTTCTTGTCTATGTGGAAAACAGGCATCTTCACCAAGCTGTGAAGGTGGTAATGACTGCCCTAGCAATTAAGGCTTGTAGGTGCTGCGGTATGTGGCAGATGTCCTACCTCCTCCTTACCTCTTACCTTTTGTGCTTTGAGGTCCCACTATGCAGTGCTCTGTCCTTGGTGTTTGCATAGCAGCCAGTCATAGTGCACTAGAAAACGATTCAGTTGTTGAAGTCAGATGACTTCCATTCTACTGATTACTTGCATGACTTTGGGGATAGTTATATAGCATTTCTTCTGATTTGCAAAATGGGAATGGTAATACCTATTTTGTAGCATTGATATGACAAATAAAAGTATGTGAAGCAAAAAAAATCACAGTATCTGGGACATTATAGGGGCTCAATAAACAGTGGCTGGTGTTAGCTGTTATAGAATATGGCATTTTTTAATCCTGTGAGGCCTAGGTAGTATTATCTCTATTCTACAGAAGAGGACACTGAGCTTTAAAGAGGTTAGGCGCCTTTCCCCACATTACACAGCAAGGAAGGGCTGAAGCTGAGCTGTCTATCCCAGTCTGTCTGACTCCAAAGCCTTTTGTTTTCCTCTGGCCTGTTGTGTTCCTTGTAAGTGCTATTACAAAGCCAGTGCCTCCCCCTGAAAAGTACTGTTATTAAACTCATGGAGAACAAGGACCATTCAGAACTTGTTCTTGTCTTTCCATATCTGGAAGAAGAGCTAGAAATTCTAGAATATTTTGAAAATGATATTTTCTCACAAATACCACCCCCCCAGGATTGCCAGCCTGCCATTCTTTTTCTAGCTCAAGGTGTGACTAATGTTGTTGAGACTTAGTGTTGGATACAAAGTCAAGTCCCATTAGTCATTGTATCTAACTTGCAAGGTTTGGGGTTGAAATTTACAGAACTAATAACTTTTCAGATATTTGGACAAGTTACTGATGAAGTAGGAAACACAAAATCTCTGACATTTGTCATAGCATTATTTTTTCTGAAATATCTCCTTGGGTGTGGGAAATAAGAAAAAATAAACAAATGAGACTACATCAAACGAAAAGGTTTGCACAGCAAAGGAAACCATCAACAAAACAAAAAGACAACGTACTGAATGGTAGAAGATACTTGCCAATGATACAGATTTCATAAGGGGTTAATATCCAAAATTTATGAAGAATTCATTCAATTCAATACCACAAAAAAAGTGGGCAGAGGACATGAATGGATACTTCTTTTTTAAAAGATTTTATTTATTTATCTTTAGAGGGGAAGGGAAGGGAAGGAGAGAGGGAGAGAAATGCCAGTGTATGGTTGCCTCTTGTATGTCCCCTTCTGGGAACTGGCCTACAACCCAGGTATGAGCCCTGACTGGGAATCAAACCACAATCCTCTCGTTCACAGGCTCAATCCACTGAGCTACACTAGCCAGGGCTGAATAGATACTTCTTCAGAGAGGCCAGTAGATATATGAAAAGATGCTCAACATCACTAATTGTCAGAGAAATAAATGCAAATTAAAACTACAATGAGATGTCACATGACACCTGTTAAAATGGCTATCATCAACAAATAAATAAACAAGTGTCAACGGGGGTGGGGAGAAAAGGGAACCCTCATGCACTATTGGTGAGAATGCACATTGGTGCAGCCACTGTGGAAAACAGTATGGAGGGTCATCAAAAAATTAAAGATGGACTGGTCTCATGACCCTGTGATTCCACTTCTGGGAATATATCTGAGGAAACCTAAAAAGGTATTGGAAAGAACATAAGCACCCAGTGTTCGTTGCAGTATTGTTTACAATCGGCAAGATATGGAAGCAACTCAAGTGTTCATCAATACATAAGTAGATGAAAATGTTGTGGTACATATGTACAATGGAATATTAGTCATAAAATAGAATGAAACCTTACCATTTGTGACAGCATGAATGGACCTAGAGGGTATTATGCTAAGTGGTATAAGTCAGAGAAACACAAATGCCATATGATTTCACTTATATGTGGAATCTAAAGAACAAAAGAAACAACTAATCAAAATCAAAACAGACTCATAGATACAGAAAACAGATTGATGGTTGCCAGGGAGAAGAGGGCATGGAGTGACTATGTGAAAAAGGTGAAGGGATTAAGAAGTACAAATTCGTAGTTACCAAATAATCATGGGGCTGTAAAGTACAGCATAGGAAATATAGTCAATAATATTTTAATAACTGTATATGGTGCAAGGTAGATACCAGAAATATAGAAAGGAACACTTTGTAAATATATGAATAGTCTAATGACTGTGCTGTATACTTGAAACTAATACATAGTAATATTGAATATAAACTATAATTGAAAAATAAAGTTAGAAAAATAAAGAAATAGAAAATGCAACTGATTGTGTGTATATCTTGTTTCTTAGGCAACAGGAGGAGGATATGAAAGTGATGATGCATATCATAACACCGAACTTTTCTTCTTAGACATTCATAACATTCATGTTATGCGGGAATCTTTAAAAAAAGTCAAAGACATTGTTTATCCTAATGTAGAAGAATCTCACTGGTTGTCCAGTTTGGAGTCGACTCATTGGTTAGAACATATCAAGGCAAGTATATTTTTAAAAGATCAGTAATTATTTAGTGAAACAAGACTTTTTAATTCTTAAATTTAAACATTGAACAGTGAGAGATGAAATATTTATAGTATAGGATTCTGCATTTGGCAGTTTTGTATTTCCTTAAAATTTGCTTACCAAAACTAAAGAGTTCACATCAACTTCTGAATATTTTTAATGTCTTTAGAGATGTCCGTTTCCATCTCACCAGTAGTAATAGTTGAGTCTTTCATTCAGGTTTATTTAGGAATAGCCAGTTTATTATCTAACCATTATTGGGTATGACCCTCAAGGGCCTTGAGAGAGATTGTTTTTACTGAAACAAATCTCAAATTGTCTCATTTTAAAGAATAAACTTTGTGTTTTTATTATTTCAGTCCTTCACCTGGATAAAGACATCAAAAACCTCATTTCTTTCAAAAGCAAAACAGCGATCTAAGCAAACTAACACTTTTATAAGCTGCCATTTAATTTTATAAACAAACAAAAAGCCTGCTTTAAATAGATGAATTATTAAGGTAGATTATTTTCTAGTCAAATTTTATTTTCCAGCTCATCAGGAACCATATTTTAATTTTACCTATCTTTCATTTTTTCTTAATTTATCATCCTCAAAAATGAATTGCAAAAATATTACTTGTGACAACTAAATATAATGTGGTATCTTGGATTACAAAAAGGACATTAGGTAAAAAATAAGAAAATTTGAGTGAAGCGTGGACTTTTAAAAATAAGATAACAAGTTTTTTAACATTTTAATAATTATCAACATTGGTTTATTAGTTGTAACAAAAATACCATATTATATGATGTCAACAGTAGGAAACTGGGTCAAACATATGCTAAAAGATGATTTCTATTGCATCTGGCCTGTAAGGTGTAGATTGGACGGGTTGGGCCACTGATTTTTCTAATATTATCACTGTTATTGGTTGAATTATGTCCCCCCAAAATTAATATAGTGGAGTCCTGACCTCTAGCACCTCAGAGTGTGACCTTAATGGAACTTGGGGTCATTGCAGATGTGATTAGATAAGGTGAGGTCATAATGGAGTAGCATGGGCCCCTAATCCAATAAGGCTGATGTCCTTAAGAAAAGGGGAAATTTGGGGAGCAAGGGGCGGGGGAGGCTGGGATGGGAGAAATAGACAAAAAAAACTGTACTTGAAAAATAACTAAATAAAATTAATTAAAAAAAAGAAAAGGGGAAATTTGGACACAGAGACACATGCACAGGGAGAATACCATATGAAGACTGGCCTTAAGTTGCCACAAGTCAAGGAACTAGCAGAAGGTCGGAGACAGTCCTGGAATAGGTTCTTCCCTGGAACTTGATCTTAGACTTCCAGCTTCCAGAATGGGGAGGGAATAATGTCTGTTGTATAAGCCCCTAGTCTGTGGTACTTTGTTATGACTGCCCCGGCAGACTAAGAGAATCACTTATGTGAATAAAAGTTTGAAATGCAGTTTTTCTTTTGCTGTTTGTATTTTTTTGTAAAAATATCTAGTTGCATTTGAATGCAGTTTCTGTAGAGGAAGAACAACAGATCCTGCAGCTCCTGGTTCTTAATCTTTGGGATTTTTTCTAGGGTTAAAAACTACCATTTCAAATTGAAGTAGTACCTTGCAGCTACCAACTGATTTGCATGTTTCTTTGCTAGCTTGTTTTGACAGGGGCCATTCAAGTAGCTGACAAAGTTTCTTCAGGGAAGAGCTCTGTGCTTGTGCACTGCAGTGATGGATGGGACAGGACTGCCCAGCTGACATCCCTGGCCATGCTGATGTTAGACAGTTTCTATCGGAGCATTGAAGGTTTTGAAATATTGGTACAAAAGGAATGGATAAGTTTTGGACATAAATTTGCATCTGTAAGTAAATAATAAAGCTGATGTTTAAAATGTCAGATCATTGCCATTTGGGGTTTAAAACCTCATTGTTAAACCATATCTCGTTATGTAAAAAGAAAATCTGAGGAGTGTAATAAATAACACTTTACAGGTTTGAAAATGTGTGATGCATTGGGCTGGAAAGTCTCTTTAGGAGACATGTTTATCCATGTGCACTATTTGCACTTTCTCTTGAAAGTAAAACAAAGAGTGTGCATGGAAATGTTCAAATTGAAATTATAGCTATTAAAGCCAAGTATATTTTATAGAAATGCTAGACTTTCAGCTAAGGCTTTTGTCATTATTTTTCTCTGATACACTTTTAAAATTGAGAGAATGTATTAAAATTCCTATTTCCAGGTCTTGTTTCCAGACACACTTTGAAGAAGCATTTTTCACAACTTCTCCAGATGATACTTAGAAACACTGCTGTGTAGCCTTTTAGCCTTCATCCAAATTTCATTAAGTAGTATGAATAATATTTTTAAGTAAAAAGAATCATTGTTTAGAAAATGAATAAATGATGAGGATTTTTTTGTCATATTTTTAAGAGAGAAAATACTTACTTTTAATTATAATAGTGACACCCTTTTATGTATGGTTTCAAGTCCTGAAACTTTATAACTGGCCTCTTAGTAATTGGTAAAATACTCTGTAAGATAATTTGGTGGGTCCCTTCTACCTGTAGTGGCCTAGGACTTGGACAAAATTCCAGTCAAATGAAATAATTGTTACATTCACAAATGATGATGATTTGCCAATTTCTATTGGTATTTTATGAAAGTTTAGATACTTAATTTTTGTTATTTCAAAACCTTATATTATTTTCTATATTGCCAAGGAAAAATATACTATTTACTCTCTGAGAGACCTGGCATTTGGAAAGCAGATTTTGAGTTGTATTGTCAAATTTTGTGAGTTATATGATTTCTCAGTTTTATACCCATCAATTTATTTCAGAGAATAGGTCATGGTGATAAAAACCACGCAGATGCTGACCGATCTCCTATTTTTCTCCAGTTTATTGATTGTGTATGGCAAATGTCAAAACAGGTAAGGGATATGTAGGATAAAAATACATTCAACCTAATGTTTAAATATTTTGATATAATATATGGGATTTGCCTCCAAATAATACAGGACAGAACTAAGAGCTGCAACCAGTTTGGCCATATGCGAGTAATTGTTGAAGCCGGGTAATGGGTACACGGATTTCCCTTTTTATTTCCGCTACTATTTATATGTCTAGGATTTTTTCATAATAAAGTTTTAAAAATTCAATACTTAACTATATTAACTATACTAATGAAGGAGTACTGGAATTGACAATATCAATTTATCTTTTCCATCCATTTTATACTAGCATTTGTATATAGGTGTGTCTGCTAACTTATAATACCTTAAATAATTAAACTACCCTGTATACTCAGGAAAACCCAGAAAAACAGCTTGTTTTCCTCCATTTCTTTTTTATTCCTTTACTTGACCCTTATTTAAACTTCTCAGTCCTATGCAAAGCACCAATAAAAGAGTATGGGACATATGCCAATTGCAGCCTCTGCTGTCCTTCCTTGCAGGCAAAGGGTGGTAAAGTTTATGCACCTCTTTGCAGTCCTATAAAAGATCAACCAGAGTTTTTATGTTTTATTTGCTTGTTTGTTTTTGTCTAGTTCCCTACAGCTTTTGAATTCAATGAACGATTTTTGATAACAATTTTGGATCATCTGTATAGTTGTCGGTTTGGTACTTTCTTATACAACTGTGAATCCGCTCGAGAAAGACAGGTGAGTGAAAATGCTAATCTACCTATATGTGTCTAGTATGCCATGAAATACAAAGAATTTGATAACTTGGTTTAAGGTAAATGCATTATTTCTGTTTTTTTTTTTACTCTAAGCTTGGGTGTTTTCATTTCAACCAGGGTTTGTTCAGTGTCTGGTATTTATTGCAGGAGTAAGACATTGACTTTACTCTCAGGGAGTAGGAATAACTTTATATAAATGCAAAGTCTCCCTCCCATAAAAGCCATAAAATGTCAGTAAAGGGAATCTTGTAAGGCATAAACTCATAAGAACAGGGAAATTGAGAAAGGATACATTGCAGCAAACTTTTGGAAGCTGGAAAGCTACTAGGTGAATGTTAAATATATTAGTTTGAGAAAACTGAATCTAAAACGAGCAGTAGAGAGTCCAGTAACCAGCCTGCTTTACATTGCAGGAACCCCAGATGACTCAAGGACTCTGGGGTGAAGATGTACCAGGTGTGTGGGATCAAGGGTCAAGAGTAAGATAAACTGAAGGTCTGTTTAGAATAAACAGCTTCCCCAGATCCCCTCTACCTCTCTATGGAGCTGAGGACTCTGACAGAGATTTCTTTGTGAGGGGGGATATGGGTAGGTCAGGGGAGTGATGTGATGGATGTGAGCTGGCTTGTGAGAACCCCAGCTCATTTCTTTAGCTGACTCCTAGCATTCTGACAGCAGGTCCTTAGTTCCCAGGTAGGAGCATGAAAGAAGTTTCTCTGTTGGCGAGGATTGGGAGAAAGTGCAGCACTCATTCATTGCTGGTAGGGGTATAAAATGTTGCAGCAACTGTAGAAAACAGTCTGGTGGTCCCTCAGAAAGCTAAATATACAATTAGCATATGACCCAGCAATATCTATGTCTATATCTATATCTCTCTGTGTATATATGTATATAAACATATATACATGCATGTATACATATATACATGTGTATATGTGTGTACATACATTACACATATACACACACATACATAGAGGAAGAGAGATATAACTCTCTAGGAGAAATGAAAATAGAGGTTGAAACAAAAAACTCGTGCACAGATGTCCATAGTAGCACAACTAATAATAGCCAAAAGGTGGCAACAACCCCACTGACCATCAGCTGATGAATAGATAAACACAGTATGGTATATTCACACAATGGAATATTACTAAGCCCTAAAAGGGAATGAAGTTGGTACATGCAACAACATGGATGAACCTTGAAAATATTATGCCAACTTAAAGGAGCCAGACACAAAAGGCCACATATTATATGATTCTGTTTATATGAAATATCCAGAATTACAAATTCATAGAAACAGACCGTTGATCAGTGGTCCAAGGGGCTGGTGGGAGGGGAGAATTGGGGAAGTGATAGGTTAATGGACATAGGGTTTCTATTTGGGATGATGAAAATATCTTGGAACTTGATAGAGGTGATAGTTACACAACATTTGAATGTACTAAGAGCCGCTCAGTTGTAGACTTTAAAATGTTGAGTTTTATGGTATGTGAACACCACCTCAATTAAAAGAAAGAATCATCTCTGGGGAAACTTGACTAGTCCATAAAGAAGGACCTAGAGATATCAACACCTAGGGTTCCTCACAGTGAAGCTCAAGTTGACAACCCTCATGATCTCAGAACTTCCAATCACCTCTTCAGTACTCCACTCTTACATAATAGCAGACAACCGAGACAGAACTGCTGGGGAAAAATGGGTGCCATGTAATGAGGGGAGAAAACATAGACAAGAAGCTAGCACTTAATATCCCAAGAAAGAGAAAAAATACAGGTACCATGAAATAATAACAGAATATTATTTGGAAAGAACATTTAGAGATCAGAAAATAACTTGAAATTAAAAATATTATATTGGGATTGTACCAGGTTCTGAGATGGCTGCAGTGTAGCTGAAAGCTCGATCCACTTGCTCCCAGCCCCATATCAGTCTTGCAGCTAAACCACAGAGCAATCAACTCAAAAATCCAGCTGAGTGTGAGTGAGAGCAGGTGTGAGATAGCATGTATGCAGATGAATGTGTGGCTGTGTGTGCACAAGTGCCTGCCCACGTGCAAGGGTACTTGTGGATGGGTGACCCAGGCTCTCCTGGAACTGCTGCTGCTCCTGCTACACAGATTTGGAGCAGGAGCCAATTAGAGGAAATTACAATATCCTCCTTGGGAAGAAGGTGCTGAAGCAGCCACACCTGTCTCAGTGCCCTCCACCCCAGACTGGACTGCGCACTCTGCCACTCCTGGGAGCCAGGATCCAGGGGCTTCAGTACTTGCCAGGGAGGGGGCTGTCACCCCCCTTGCCCTGGGTGCTGCTAGAACCACAAATGGGACAGGGTCTGACTGAGGAGACTGTAGTTTAGCTAAGGAGCTGGGAGTGCCGGAGGTGGAGAGAGGTGGCTAGAGAGGTGCTGGCTACAGAGACTGCAGCAGGAGTACAGCAGTGGGAACCGAAAGCTGAGACTCACTGGAGGTAACAGTGCAAGCATCCTGCCACTGTCCATTGTTAATTTTGCTGCTGGATGATATGAGACTTGAAAGAAGACAATGCATACCAGATATAATCTGTTTATTTTGGAGAGGGGGGAGAGGCATTGGTGTAAGAGAGAAGTATCAATAGGTGGCTTCCTGTACATGCCCCAACTGGGGATCCAACCCATACATGGAAGCCCTCTTAAGGCAGAAGTGGTCATGGAAGGGGTTCAGCTCTTTAGGCAGACAGAAGGGAGAAAGTTCCCACCATTGAATGGGCCAATAAAAGTCAGGACTCAAATACAACAAGAGAGTCTGCATAACCCACAAAAGGGACATTCCTAGAACATCTGGATCAGAAGAGCAATGAGTCTGCACCATGGGGGCATTCTTCTCTGGAGAGATGAAAACTGCTGGAGACAAACCCACCATATTTTTTTCTTTTCTCCTTGAAGGGGCAAAGCACAGGCTTTGTCCTTGTAGTTACCCACCTTGGGACCCAGCAAGGGGAGTGTGATTTAGACTGGAGTCATGTGAGGAGAGTCTGGAGTGTGAGGCACTGAGGAGAGTGGCTATGGGATATGGGGGGCTGGACATACCTGAGCTCTGCAGCAGCCATCTTTCCTGAAGGGAGCTAGCCCCTCCTTGAGAAAAATCAATTACCTTACCCTGGGGGGTGCCACTCCCCCCACCCTCTGGAAATCTTCTTGCCACAACCTCTGAAATCTTGTTTGCTCCACTCTGCAACTTTTTTTGTTCCTTCTTCAGTTTTGCTCTGTCTTGGTGTTCTGTGTTTTTTTGGGGGGTAGGGGTGGGGGTTCTTTCTTTTCTCCCATTCTGCATCTTAACCCTTGCTGAGGAGACAGAAGCATAAACAGACTCAGGGGTCATCAGAGACTGGAGGTAGGGTGCAGCCAATCTATACACTATTTGGGAAACAGACCGGTGTTTCCTCCTCACAGGAGAGCCACAGAAACACCCTCCTGGCATCCAGCAGTCCCAAAATCTGGGCTCTGGAAGCCTACTAGGGACCATGCCCTGCCGAGAACAGGAAAATTATCCCTGACAGACTAAGATAAGTGGCTCATGATAGGGGGAATACACCCGCCATCTTCCCTGAAGTCTGAAAGGCATCTGCCATGGGAGATCCAGGAATCACAGCCCCCTGTTTCCAATAACAGCCCTCATGGAAATGGTCAGATCTGCAACTAGTTTAAGATTCACAGCAGGCCAGCAGGCAGAGATAAGTCTATTTCCTTTGCCAGATTGGGTTTCAAATAAGTTTTCAATTTCTTGCTCTTCCTCTTCTTCTGGCACCCCTATGATTCAGATGTTGTAATTTTTAAAGTTGTCCCAAAGGTTCCTGAGCCTCTCCTCACTTTCTGAATTCTTGTTTCTTCATTCTGTTCTGGTTCAGTGTTTATTTCTTCCTTCTATACCAAACTGTGGATTTGAGTTTCAGTTTCCTTCCCTTCACTCTTGGTTCCCTGTACATTTTCCTTTATTTCACTATTTATAGCTTTCACTTTTTCTTCTATCTTTTGACCATACTCAACCATTTCTGTGAGCATCCTGATTACCAGTGTTTTGAACTGTGCATCCGATAGATTGGCTATCTCTTCATTGCTTAATTGTGTTTTTCCTGCAGCTTGGATCTGTTCTTTCATTTGGGACATATTTTTTGCCTTGGCACACCTGTTATGTAGTAGGGATGGAGCTTAGGTATTTGCCAGGGTGGGGTAACCCACATTGCTGTGTTTTGGCACTGTATGTGCAGGAGGAGTCGAGAGAGTACAATGCCACTGGCTCCGCTCTCAGCCAGCTTTCAGTCACTTCCTCCACTACCCACAAGCAAATTGGGCCCTTCTGGTGCTGATTCCCTGGGTGGGTGGTTTTATGTACATTTAGGACCCTGTGGGTCTCTCTAATGAACTCTCCTGTGAGGTAGGAAGTTTCTCTTGTCACCTCTATCTCCACAGGTTATTTCAGTCAGGGGTTTTGAGGCTTTATTTCCTTGTACTGGAACCCTGGATTGTGTGGTCAGTCTTGCTCCCCAGTTGTTCTTCCCAGTTTATCCACATGAAAATGGACCACCTGGTCCTCCAGCTGCCACCTGCCATGGGTCCCTTCCACTGTAGCTACCTATCTCTGCCCTTCCTACTGGTCTAGATGAATGTTTCTTCTTTAATTCCTTGGTTGTTAGACTTCCATTAAGTTCAATTTTATCAGTAGAGTTCTCAACTGAAACACTACAAGCCAGAAGGCATCAGCATGAAATATTCCAAGTAATGAAAAGCAGGAACCTGCAACCAAGACTACTCTACCCAGCACTGCTCTTTTAAAAATGGCAAGTGACCAGTCAGGGCACATGCCTGGGTTGCAGGCCAGTTCCCAGCAGGGGACCCACAAGATGCAACCATACATTGATATTCTCCCTCTCTCCTTCCCTTCCCCTCTAAAGACAAATAAATAAAATCTTTTTTAAAAATGGCAAGTGAAATAGAGAGCTTCCC